GAGCCGACACCCTTGTTTGAGAATCGCAGATAGAAGCTCAAGAACGGAGCTCCACGAAGAACACGGCGTCCTTTATGAGCGCAATTTCGGTGACCTGAGCGCAATTGATGAAATTCAACCCGCTACAAATTAGACACCGTGAAATGCATCACTCCAAAAGTCTACCAAGCGACAGTGACAAAGATGCCCCATGATATAGATGAGAATCCACTAGCATGAACCAAAGGCCAATTAGCATTGGCGAGCGCAAAGCCAAAAATGACATAATTAAGCACTGGTAACAAGTATGGAGGGGAAATTACAAAAAAAAAAAAAAAAAAGTAAAATGAGACGAGTTCAGCTCGGAGGCAAAGAGTTGCAAATGAGAGGAATCACAGACAAAGGCACGGCGTGTTCACTGGAAAATGCAGAAGAACTCTTCACGGGCACTCTGAAGAACGATGACAGACGATGATGATGATGATGGAATTTTGGGTGGCACATCGCATTGCACGTTATTCTTTTACGTTAAGACAATATTTTGATTTTATGACACAACTGTCGGTTTCCGCAGTTTATTCTTGAGCATGCTATGTTGTATTTTACCGTCCATGCTGTCAGACAGAGGTCCCGGTTCAAGTCAGGGCCAGGAAAAATAACAATAAAGCTTCATAATGCTCATCGCGTGAACGCAAAAGTGAAATGCAAATGGAAAATGACACAACCCCCTCCCCCCCTCGTTAGGCGGCACGCTGGTCCACTGGTTAGCACGTGCGGCTCACAGTGCAGAGGTGCAGGGTAAGCAAACGAAGAAGAAATCCATTGAGAAAGTTGTGAAAGGTGGAAAACATATTCTCGTTAGGCGGTACGGTGGACCACTGATTAGCACGTGCGGCTCACAGTGCAGAGGTGCAGGGTTCGATTGTGGCCTTCCTCTGTGGAGTTTACGTGTTCTCCGCGTGCCTGCGTGGGTTTTTTTGCGGGTACTTCGGTTTCCTCCCTCATTCCCAAAACATGCATGGCAGGGAAATGGAACGCTCTAAATTGTCCCGAAATGTGCACGAATGGATTTACAACCAGTTCAGGGTGTACCCCGCCTGCTGCCCGAAAACGGCTAGGATAGGCTCCAAGATGCCCGCAACCCTCCTGAGGATAAAGCGGTCATGCGGTAACGGATGGATGGATATTTTTTTATTCTCCTAGCGAAATATCCTCCCGCCCACCTTTGTCTCAATACTGAATCGAGTTTCACTTTTTCTTTCTGGCTCCAGCTTTTCTTTCCTACGCATGCTCGTAATGTTCTGCAGCACGCGCTTGTCAATGTGCCTCGCCGGCGTAACCAACTCAGCCGCAAATCAAATGAGGAGCAGCTTCAGAAAAAAAAAAAAAAAAAAAAAAAAAGCAAAATAGATGGATACCACCACAAAAAGAGACGTTCATAACAAATGCAAATCATGTAACTATCTGATGAAAGATCTTTCCTTCAGCTCATATTCGCAATAGTGCAGCCATCCAAAATCAATCAGAGCCAATCATGGAACAAGAACGAATCAAGATGATCCAATTTGGGGAGGGACGTGACTGAAGCAAGCAGACAAAGTTGATGACATGTGTTGTGAAAATATTTCCGCTCAGCTATATCCTGCAGAAATGAAGGGCCACTTTTTGTTCCAGGAACGCAATGAAAGCAATCTTTGCGCGGTGTTTCTTGGGCGTGAGCGGCATTTAAAAGACTCTCTATCGGACTCTTGAAGACCGATAATGAAAAGCAGACCGCCGTGGCTGTGGAACACTCTTGCCGATAGATTTTATTTTTCGTCTGGCTGGAATCTGCTTCAACCTCATGCATATTTGCTTTCGGAGTGCTCTTCAATAGTCGCTTCAATTCATTTGCTTATTTGACGACAGAATGGGAAAGATTTAACTCCGCTTCGCATGGGTCCAAATCTTCGGATGACTCAAAATTGGCCCTTTTTGGGGGGATGTGAGCGTGAATGGGCTGTTTGTCTACACGTGGCCTGCGATTGGCCGATGACCAGTTCAGGGTGCACGCCGCCCGCCACCGAGTCAGACCGGGAAGGCTCCAGCGCAGCCCGCGTGAGGTGAAGCGGTCCAGAAAAGGACACGCAGATAGTTATGCTCTGAAACGTTTTAGTTTCTCTCTGTGCAGATTCATTCATTGAAAGGCAGCTCAGCTTTTGCGGGAGCTGGCTTCCCTCGCCAACCTTCCTCGCTGCGACAGCTTTGATGGTCAATTATATTCAATAAAAAGTTCGAGAGCCGAAATCAATCAATTTCAGGAAGGGCTAATCCTCCTTCGCAAGCAGACTGTGAAGCCACAAGTCCTGCAGAAATGTTTGAAAATGAACTGTAATGGAAGACACATGTTAGGCTGCACAAGTCTCCATGGGAGCGCCGCCTCCTCCTTCAGCAAGACGCGAGCACGTGACATGAAGTAGCCCCAAACTTTTTTTTTCTCAACTATCCACAATGGGTTTTTTTTTTCTTTTGCAGAAGATATTTTGCGCAATATGTCACCATTTTAATTGAGTGAAAGGGACTCAACACACGACCGCTGTTGAATTTCGGCAACAAATGCGGTCAGGGTAATTTACGCATTCTTTGGCAAAATAAAAAATAAAAATCTTAGCTGGGTTAGCCCCAGAAGAGATGCACTCAAGAGCACTTGTTGAGGTGACTCGGCATTTGGAAGTGTTTCAAGATTGTCTGGCTGCAGACCTCACCTCTCAGGCCCCTCCTCTTCCTCCTCCTCACGCCGCTGCAGACCTCAACCTGGATCGTCAGCCCGGAACGACGTGGAATCGTTTGGAAATAGCATTGCTTTCCCCTTACGGTTTGACATTTTAATAAAACACATGTCATGATCACAGTTTGAAGTTTCAAGATTAACTAGCAACAGAAATCTCATAAAGTCCACAATACTTTGTTAATGATGTCAAATTTAGCCTGCGTGTAAATATCGTTCATGAACAAGCAATACCGTGTGTGTCTTCTCTCAGATGCATTAAAAAAAAAAAAAGTATTTTTCTTGTTGATTTCTCACCTTTGGCATCTTACAATTTTGAATGAGGACTGTTGTTTGGATTTTGGAGGACACCATCTAAGCCCCGAGCATATTTTTTTTCACATCTAAATCACTGAAGAAGTTACAGTGCATAGATGGGCGCTTTTCGACTCGTATTTCAACGTCATCGTTTTATGTTCCGGTGAGTTGTCATGACCGCCGAATTAAGAGTTTGCTTCCCGTCTTTTTTCGGGATAACAGCGAAAAATGTCGGTCTGGCTACAGCACTGAGAAATATGACATCATCGGCTAACTTTCACAACAAAAATGGCACAATATGCAACATGACTAAGCTCCATCTGGTGTGAGGACTTTGTGTGCAGTCTTGATGAAATCTGGCAAGAGAAAGGCAAGTTGGTGCAACCCCCCCCCCCCGATTGTATTCAATTCTTCAGCACATTTCTCCTGAGTTCAGTCATTATTTTTTTTTTTCTATTTTGTTGTATGATGAAGTTCCTGCCTGGAGAAGGTCCGAACATAACATTCTTTTCTTTTCTTTTCAATTTGGCCTCGTTGCAGGTCTGCCCTCCACAAGAAACAATTACAGGATTTCAAAAACAGGCCTTACACCAGGGGTGTCAAACTCATTTTTGTCGCGGGCCACGTTATAATTTGCGTTTCCCTTGGAGGGCCGTGATGACTGAAACGAGAAAAGAAGTCAAGCACAGCGTTTTATTCAACTATTGTTGAAGTAACTGTCATGAGGGGTTTTGGTAACACGAAAATGCTGACAATATGTCACTGATTTATTACATCCGAAAATGTAAAATTTTGGTACACATTTTAGCAAGTATCATGGAAGTTGTCATCTTTGATTTGCTTTCGCGGGCCACTCAAAACGATGTGGCGGCCACACATGGCCCCCGGGCCTTAAGTTTGACACCAACGCCTTACACTTTTAGTCTGAAATGTTTTTTGTTTTTGTTTGTTTGCGGAGGGGAATGATTCATGAATATATTTGGGCCGAAAACTTTGTTTATATTAAAAGAGAAGAGAGGAAGAAGTCGGATGGAACTTTAATTTCAAGCACTGAGGGGTGCAAAGTAGGACGTCTCCTTAAGTGTGCAATTTGTTTACAGCGTGATCATTATCTTGCTAATTGCAGCCCTGAAACTTTTAATACTTTGCCTTTCAATGCAGCCGGATGTTTTCAAGACACGCGCACACAGTCACACGCAAAGTGTTGATCACAGCTGCCATTCTCACGGTTTATGAACATCTGAAGGACTGCTTTTGTGAGCACTCTTCTGCTCGAGATGAGCTCCACTTCATCCCGCCACTGAAACAAACAATGCTGCTCTTCTTGTCTTTTGTTTTTCTTTTCTGTTTGTTTGGGTTTTTTAAATTTGTTTTTTGCCAATGCAATTTTAGGAAATCGTTGTCTCCCTCGGACTATGTGCCAGACAGCTTCAACACAGGAAGGCATGTCAGAAGCTCCAATCCAGCCCCAAACTGTCCCCCACAAAGTTGGGAGCCCAACATGCCGGACAGATATTTTGGACAATTCCTTGTGGGAACAGGTCAGAGGTACCCCCCCCCCCCACCCCTCCTCTCCCAACATGATTGTGCATCAGTACCCAAAGCAAGGTCCATGAAGACCTGAACGACAATCTGGCGTGAATAAACTTGACTGAGCTGCACAGAGTCCGGACCTCAACCCGGCAGAACAGCTTTGGAATGCATTCGAGCGCAGACTAGGAGCCGGGTCGTCTCGTCCAACATCAGAACGTGGCCTCACAAATGTGCTTTGAGAAGAATGCTCATAATTGCCCACAAACACGCTCCTGAACCTTGCGAAACAGCCTTCCCAGAAGAGTTGGAGCTCTAGTGGCAACCTCAAGTCAATCGTGGAAAAAAAAAAACATGCTAACCCGACCCAGCACAGAATCAAACCCTGCACCTCTGCGCTGTGAGTCGGACACGCTAACCAGTCGACCACCATGCCGCCTGCAGTAACATAAAATGCAAATTTGATCACAACAAGGCTCTACATAACAGAGAGACAAAAACCAAGGATTTCTTCAAGGTCAGCCTTTTTTAGTTCCTTTGTTTTTCAGTCATTGCTCATTTGTCTCCTACAAGTAGGCCAGGAAATGAAATGCTAATAAGATCGTTGTTCCGTCTGCAAAGAATTAACATACTTTTTGCGCACAATATTTTGAACCAAAGCCTCAAAATGTTATTTTGCCCACACACTGCTGCTCCTTTGTGGGATTTATCTTGCATCTCAATCAGCAGAAGAACAACCAGCATCCAAAATAGCACAAATGAAAGAGGGCGGGCTTCTTTTTGCCCCCCCCCCCACCTTTTTAGGTGATGTTTACAGGAAACCGTGTTGTGGAAGTGTGTTGATTTTCACACTGCGCCAAAGAATATAAGCAGAAGGGCTATCTCCCTTCCCATCGGATCTGGCCAGGTCGGGCAGTCAGGCAAAGGCTCTTTTGGACAAAGTCGGGTTAAGGTATTTGCCTCTCAGGCATCTGAACTATTAGCCTGGGAGACGTGGGTAAGCAACCTTGCTAACATCTGAGCGGTGAAAGGGTAAATCTGACCCGAACTTATTTGTATCTGTACAAAGTATGTTCCTCTGTGTCCAAAAAGACAATTGACATCAAATCACATTTTCTCACGTCTCCTTTTATTGTCGGATGAGCAAGTGTCATTTCTTTCAGCTTCGCTCATATCCACTTTTGTGTTCCCCTGAAGGGAAAAGCAACAACTATGACCTCAGTCTTCTATTCTGGTAATGGCTAATTAGAAGGGACTTGTTTCCGATTAGCTCGTAATGCTACTTACACAGGCCATTGCCTTGTTTCCGTGTATATTGAGTTATCCCTCACCGAACCCAAAACGATGTTGCTCTGCTGGTACTAATCAGGCGGGTTTGCTTTTCCTTTTGATCGAGTGCAAAATAATGGCCATGGAACTACATTTTTTTTTCCCCTCCATGTCACATTTCGATGGCTCTCTTTTCCCAGATGACTGCCTTTAGATGAATGAGTCCGTGCCCTTGTGACTACTTGACTGTTTTCATCTATCTTTGTCACAGCCCTCCAAAGCTACGTATTGTGGTCGAGGAAAACGTGTCAAGGTTTTATGATGAATTTGTCGTTTTGACTTAAAATGCTTTGAGAGACGAGTGTAAGGCGGTCGGGACTAAACCTTTTATTTTTAAGGCCGCATCATCAAGCGTTTTGACAACAGCCGCAGTCGCAACACAGCGCTTTACACAAAAGTTAGCATAAAATAAGAACAGAACACATAAGACACGGACAGTCATACAATCGTAACCGGTATCCCTGTAGACGCCTTGTCCTTTGAAGCAGTTCTCGATGAAAGAGGCGGAGACAAAGTGTCCTTTCACCAGTGGATCAGAGATGTCAGCCTCAAAACGTGCATGACGTTCCACACGTCAGCTACAAGCTAAGATTGAGAGAAAACAAGAAGCTGCAGCATCCATTGACGAAAAAAGAGGTTGGTTCACTTCTCCCGTCCCATGTGAATCCGCTTCAATTCCAAGCGCCGACTCTCAGTTCCAAATCTCTCGTCATCCTTAGCGCCAGCAGCCGCACCAACGCAGACTCTCCCAACAGCGCCGACATCTCTGCTGAACAAAACCGGGGGCTGTGAAAAATGCTGTCCGTTACAGGCGCAAAAAAAAAAAAAAAAGCTGACTGAGCCCACCTGTACTGCAGGAAAAGCATGTGGCAGTTGGAACCACTGCTGAGGCTGATGACATTTCACCCTCCTTTGTGACTTTTGTTGCTGTGTTGAGAAATCAGCCGTTGTTCAGCTATGTTCCAAAGAATAAAGGTAATCACAGTCTCATGGAGGCGCTCAGCAGCCATGCGTGAGAAGTCGGTGGGAGACTGTGCGAGCGCGAACTACGCTTGTTGCGCTACCTGTCAACACCGATGTCACAGCTTGCCGGTTCACGGTGGCTGTTGGCATTATCAGCGAGCTTTCAGCGACGCACCTTGTTATCTGGCGCTCCAGTCCTGCTGTCACTCCACTTCAGGTGACAGGCTTGAACAAGAAGAGCTCGGACACCATTGGAGCACCTTTGAAATATGACAACCTGATTCGCAAGAATTATTAGGCTTTGTTTTTTTTAATGCCGCCACTGAGATCCTCAGTAGGTTTCTTTTATTCGACCGGTCGGAATTTGGTCTTATGATGGATCAGGCAATGAAGGATATCAAGAAAGGAATTGAGTGTTGCCTCAACAAGTTACATTTTCCTATTGGACAGCTTGCACAGGCTCTCGTGGGCGCGCCGAAGAACATTTAATGCCAAGTATGCGTACAGGACAACGGTCGATCCGTGTAATTCACATTCATTTAATGTGTGCAATTATATAATCAGATGCGCTTCATATAGACATGAGAGCAAACTTTGGAATGCTCTTTTCTTTTTTTGCATTCACTCGAATAAGCCTTGGAGATAAAGGGAGCCCGTTGTACTGTCGATGTTATTTATAGAACCAGTGGGAACAGAGCTTCCAGAAAATCAGCAGTACTTCATAGGCTGCAGAAGAGAACTTATGATTGGAGATTCTCAAGTGACGACCCCCCTCCCCCACCCCGCCACAGCAAATGGTGGGAGTGGGACACTCATCTGTTCCTAATATTACACACTTGTGCCTTTGAAACCTCTGTAACGAATGCATTACAGTGTTCTAGTCCACAGCAGAAAATGCCAGGGCTTTTTTTTTCCTTTTTTTCAAGACAGATGAAACTTTACTGATCATGTTTACCGTTATATTTGTGAGCAACCTATATCCATAACCGTGGCCCGATTAGCAAATATAGTTACCTAAAATCACAACTGCTATGGCAAAAGATGACGATGGTTATTTCCAGTGCTGTCATACTTTGCGGCGTGTGCTGCAATTGCTTCCAAGGGATTGTTTGGCTTTTGTCCGTTTTATCTTAATTTTCCTTCATTTTTTTTTATTAAATCTGTGGTAAACAAGTCGCAGCAGCAGCAATAACGATACTGCAATTTTTTGCTTTGGCCAGTGAACCATTTAGACCTGCCAAGGTGCAGTGTCAGCCAAATGCACTCCTCTCCCATGAAGATCTAATTAGCTCCAGTATGTGACTTAAGATCTAGGTCAGATTTCGTTTTTTTTTGTTTTTTTGTTTTTTTAAACACTTTAACTGACTTCCTATTAAAGTGAGTTTTCCATACTTATGAATTTTTTGCTCTTGGACCAGTCCTCGAATCACTGACCCATTTCCGGTTGTAGCCTCCAAGAGACACCACATGACAGTCTGATGTGAGAAGCAAACTTTTTCTTGATCACACAGCTAATTGCTGGATTTGGTAACTAATCTGCTGGTGTGATTGTGTCGCGCTACTTTTGATCCAGGAAATGCAGTCATTATGTTTATGCAATTCGAAGACGCGACAAGATGCTATTTTCTGTTACAAAAAAAAAAAGTTAAATGACAGCGCCGAGTCACAGCCGGAGTATTCAGTTCACACCATCTGTCAGTGTACTTCACGAGCCCATTGAAGCCTCGTTGGTTCCCGTGAGACCTTTCCAAACAACCAGTTACTCATTCACTTGAGGAGCCACAAAACTCCCAATTTCCACTACCACCAAAAGGAGCGTACAATAAGTGACAATGGTGATTAAAAAAAATAAAAATTTAAATCACGCCTTCCCCAAGTTTGGCATTTACATGTATTTATTTGTTAATTGTTCAGGGTACACACACACACACACTTGCACAATTTCAGAGAGAGCTCTCGACATTTTGCCATTTTGAACAGGTATGAGGAATTTTAAACATCCCCTTTGCATACCCAAATTTGAGCCAGCTCACGACTGCAGGACCATCATGCGCCTCTCCCATACCGCACTGAAAGTGAGGGAGTCGATGAGCAGCCAATCAAGTCGGCTTGTGTTCACATCCACAACGGTGCAAAATGCCATTTTTTAAAATGTGCCACACTTCACCTGCTGGCAAAAAAAAATGTTCTATTCCGCGTCTGTGCAGGTTGAGACCGTGCCTCGTGCCAGACTTGTACAGGGTAGAAAAAAAGAGCCCTAAGGGTGAACACTGGGCCTGATGAATGAAACACAAACCTGATTTACTCACAGGATGACTTACTTTGTTGTATCAATGAGAATAGGTGGATACACAGATGTGTCGTACCTTCTTCTGCCGTTGGACGCAAGAGGAATTCGTTGTTCTACCTCAGCATAAGTGAAGTCAAACATGCTCTCTTTATATTAGAAGTCGTTTACACACACAAACATCGGTGTGCTACCCTATTCACAGCAAACATTATAGTCCAGGTAAACAATAAAAATCAGCTTTTACCTGCATTTCTCCTCAAGCAAAGTGTGTTGAAACTTGAAAGTCCTGTTTGTGATGGCTCTCACAAGTAGGTCGTGTTCGCAAACAAAGCATGTTGTGCATGTCTGAACATTCACCGCGTAAAAGTGGTCATGTCGTTTTGTCAAACCTTGAATCAGTGACAAGTGGCTGTTTGTGATGGTCCGTATTGCTAAATGTGTGGCCATTGTGCATCGAAGCGGCAGCCTTGCACACCTCTTGCTTTGCATGTATTATTTCAAAACACTGAAATAACTTTTTTTATGCGTGGCTCACAAGTTGCACACAAACGTAAGCAGAAAAAACGTGTACAACGTACAATCGTAATGACCGAATGAGAGCTAAAAAGAAATGATCCTTTCTTTCTGCTTTCTATTTTTCTAAGGAATTCAATTAGTACGTCTACTTTTAGCACTCTTTTCGAACTCAATCATGTGTACTTCTTTCTACATGAGTAGCCAAACTTTAGCCTCTGATTATTTGTACCCGTGTGTGTCGGTGATATGAGTTGCACTGATTTCCGTTGAAAGGGAACGTTCAATGATATTTTAAAACAATAACTACAACACTGAATAATTTGTAAGGACAACCGACGATTACAATTCTGGCAAATTCTCTGTTCAGTCTCCACTGTGTTTCTGTTTCTGTGTTCTTGGCGTTTATGTGGAACAATTCTGAAGGTAAACTTGGGGCGAAAACAAAGGCTCTTTGACCGACACGGGAACTTCCGAGCTGCACGCGAACGCACCAAAGAGTCTGTCAATTACAGGAGTTGAGTTAAAGACTGCGAGGACCCTGGAAGCACCAGTTGGTGTGTGAGCGCTCCTCAAATGACCAGCTAAGAACGCCCCGCGTCTCCGTCTCACGCTGCGGGGGTGGGGTGGCCAGAAGTTTGGATTCGGCCTCGCTCAAACATGGGATTCGAGCTGGACCGCTTCAGTGGTACAGTCGACCCGGATTTGAAATGCAACCTGTGCAATAAAGTTCTGGAAGACCCTCTGACTACCCCGTGCGGCCACGTCTTCTGCTCCGGTTGCGTTCTGCCTTGGGTCGTCCAGCAGAGCAGCTGCCCCGTCAAATGCCAGCGGATCTCCTCCAAAGAGCTCAACCACGTCCTGCCTTTGAAAAACCTCATCCTGAAGCTGGAGATTAAATGCGACAACCATGTGCGGGGCTGCGCCGCGGTGGTGAAGCTGCAGCACCTGGCCGAGCACGCCGGCATGTGCGACTACTCTCCGGCCAAGTGCGGGAATAAGGGATGCGACGAGGTGCTCAGCCTGCGGGACGTGGATGCGCACATGCGGGAGACGTGCGACTTTCGCGCGGCGGGCGTCTGCGAGCGCGGTTGCGGCTTGACGCTCACGCTGAAAGAGCGGCGACTCGACGACCACTGCTGCGTGAGAGCCCTGAAGGCGCACAACGGCGTGCTGCAATACCAAATGATGTGCCTGGACAGCGAGTTCAAGAAGCAGACCATCGAAGCCAACAAGAGGGAGAAAGCCCTTCTGGCGCAACTGTCCGCCGCTCACGCCGAGTTGCAGATGACGGCGGTGAAATACCAGAAGAAATTCGCAGAATACAGCGAGAGGATCGACTCTCTCACCAGAACGGTGACTTTCTCCTGCAAGGTAAACGGGGAGCATCGAGCACTCCTCACCCGAAGTTGTGCGCAGGCTTCACTTGCTACTTTTCCAAGTCTCCGAAACAAACGTGATTTGCGGTTGCCACTGTGTCCGAATAGAACCTTGGAGTCACTCTTGTGTTGCTTGTTGCTTGTTAGAGGTCAGCGTTTGCAATGCTCCGAGCTGTCTTCTTTGAGACATGGATGTCAGCTGTGCCTCCGGCCAGCTGGCAGTCAGGAATGGGGGCGGCAAATATTTACTGCAGGTCTGTACACAACAAGAGCCAGGTTCGTCTTCAGTCGAATCTTGGCAGCATGCTTGTTTGGGTTCAGGGTCACCTTTCAGCGCCACACTCACGAGGCGCATATTTTAACGTCGAAAAAGTGTATCCAGTTTATTGAAGTCGTGATCTCACTTGACTCACAAATAGCTCTTTCTTATGGGAAATCTAGACCTGTTGA